GGGTGGGAGTGGAATCAAAGTTCAAGTTTTGAATGTTTGCTTATCTGCTCCTGAAAAATTCAGTGAAAACCTCACTCAAGAATATTTCTCTTTGCTCCTCGAGCATCCACTGTTCAAACAAGTCTCCCCGTGCACTGATACATTACTTCCCCTTCACTACTTCCTTAAAGCAATTTCTCATCCTCTGCCTTCCAGTCGAAGGGCTCAAAGCTTCAGCTAGACTACAGCTGTTGCTGTGGCACTTACAGCCAAGACGTTTTTGGAACAAATCATTCATGGGATGTGCATGTCACTGCCCAGTGGGCAGTTAAAAGTCAACCATATTGTTGTGGGCTTCACATATAGGCCAGACCAGTTAAGGATGGTAGATCTCCTTAAGAAGACTTTAGTGAACCAGATGGATTTTTAATGATCAAACATGGTCACCATTATGCTAGCTTTTAATTCCAGATTTTTATTGCGATTCAAACCCATATGACCAGAACATTAGCCTGGGTCTTTGGATTAGTCGTTCAGTGGTATTTCCACTACATGACTGCCTTCCTCAGAGGCTGGTCATATGAGGGCACCTAACTTCTATTATTTGTAAAATGACAGCTCCTTCAGCGATTTCCATCAAGCAGTGATATGTTATGGTTTATTCAAGGAGTCTGAGTTGCTATGGCAATATACACTTTTAATGCATGTGTGGTCTAGAGCTACAGTTAGTGATGGTCAAGGCTCCATTCTGTTTGTAACTTAGAAGACTGGGGATCTCTCCCCCTATCGCTGCCCACCATTACCCTGTGATGCAAGGATTTACAACTCAAACCTTTCTGACCATGTTATAAACACACTTTCCTTGTTTGTCAAATCCTGAAGTGGGGCTTAAACCTGGAGATTCTCGCTTCGATTCAGGGATGCTACCCACTGCACCACAAATCCTCTATACCTTTGAATGAGTAATGAATAAGTCTGAAGCTGGCATACACACTCGAGTATGCCGTAGACCTGAGATTTTACATGGAAATTAGAATGCAGAATCAGATCATTCAGCCCATGTAGTCCATTCTAGCATTTATTCTTCTTCTTAGTCTCCTTTCCATCTTTCCTCATCTCACTCGATCCATTTAGCCCTGCATTCCTTTCTCCCTGTCGAACTGGCCTTGCCTCCCCCTTAAATACGTCTGTAGTTTGTGTCTCAATCAATTCAGGTGGTAGCAAATTCCCACACTTAACCACTCTTTAGTTGAAGAGATTCCTTCTGAAATCCATATTTGATTCCTTGCTTTTCCCTTTGGGTGGAAACTTTTCTCTCTCTCATTCTACTCTCCCAGAACCTGTCATTACTTAAAGACCACTATTAGCTGCCCCCTTCAGCTTTCTTTTTTGACCAGAAAAAAAATTCTTTGGTTCAATTTCTCATGAAAGAATTTCTGGTTTAATCCATGGAAATGGTTTTATTTTGCCATCACTCCTTACAGAATAGCAGCAGGAATAGGCCCTTCTGCTCATCGAATCTACCCTTTCATTCAACTAAATCATGACTGATCGTCCACCTCAAAGCCATTTTCCCACACCATCCCCATATCCTTTGATGTCTTTAATATCTAGAAACAGATTTCATATCAATACTCTCTGCCGCATCTTCTAGCAAGATGGGGCGTTCCATTCCTGAACATCCCAGATGTCCTCCTATTTCAAGGACCGCAACATCCCCCCTTCGGTGGTCGAAAATGCTCTCGACCGCATCTCTTGAGTTTCCTGCACCTCTGCCCTCAAATCCCCTCCCCACAACAAAAACAAAGACAGAATCCCCCCCTTGTCCTCACATATCACCCCACTAACTTCCGGATTCAACGTATCATTCTCCGCCACTTCCGCCACCTGCAATCTGAGCCCACAACCAAAGATACATTTCCCTCCCACCTCTATCTGCCTTCCGTAGGGACCACTCTCTCCGCGACTCCCTTGTCTGCTCCACACTCCCCACTAGTCCCACCACCCCCAGCACCTTTCCCTGCAACCGCAGGAAGTGCTACACCTGCCCCTACACCTCCCCCCTCACCTCCATCCACAGAACCAAAAAAATCTTTCACATCAGACAGAGATACACCTGCACACCCGCCAATGTGGTCTACTGCATCCACTGCTCCCGATGTGGCCTCCTCTACATTGGTGAGACCAAGCGGAGGTTTTGAGACCGCTTTGTAGAGCACCTGCGCTTTGTTCGCAACAAACAACTCCACCATCCAGTCACAAGCCATTTAAACTCCCCCTCCCACTCCCTGGGCAACATGTCCATCCTGGGCCTCCCAGTGTCACAATGACGCCACCTGGAAACTGGAGGAGCAGCACCTCATAATCTGCCTTGGGAGCCCACAGCCCAATGGTGTCAATGTGGATTTTACTAGTTTCAAAATCTCCCCACCCCTGGCATTGTCCCATTACTAACCCTCCCTCTTATCCCTGATTCCTTGACCTGACACAACCTGTCCATCTTCTCTTCCACCTCACTGACTAATCCCCACCACTGCCTACCTGCACTCGCCTATCACCATTCTACCTATCTTCCCCAGCCCCACCCCTCCTCTCTCTATTTATTTCAGAGTTCCCTTCCCCCTCCCCCATTTCTGAAGAAGGGTCCCGACTCAAAATGTCAACTTTCCTGCTCCTCTGATACTGGCTGGCCTCCTGTGCTCCTCCAGCACCACACTGTGTTATCTCTGACTCCAGCATTGGCAGTTCTTACTATCTCATATCTGTACCCTTTTGTGTTAAAATGTCCAGCAGATTTTACACTCTGTTCCCAAATGTAGTCTAACCACAAGTTTAACTTCACTCCTCTATATTTTCCAATTCACCATCTACAGGTAAATCCTTATGGCATTTGCCAGTACCTTCTTCCCATGACATGGAGCACCACGAGCAATATGCCCTAACTGGCCAGTGTCAACAATAGAGTTGATGACAGGCAGTTTGCCTTTGAAGTAGATCATAAGTGAGTCCGCCCTGGATTCATTTGCAGAGGGAAGAGATCAAGCCTGAATTTTCACCAACCGAGTCCTTCCTACCAACTCTGCACTAATTAATCATGACTATTTCAATCTAAAGGAGCAAAAGCAGCAGATTCATGGGAGCACCACCCCCTCCAAACCATTCATCATCCTCATTTGGAAACGTATCCCCGTTCCTTCACTGTTACTGGGTCAAAATCCTGGAATTCCTTGCCTAAAGGCATTGTGGGTCCACCTCCAGCAATTACGCTGCAGCAGTTCAAGAAGGCAACTCATCACCGCCTTCTCAAGGGCAACTAGGGATGGGCAATAAATGCTACCCAGCCAGCGATGCCCCTGTCCCTTGAGTAAATAAAAGAAACTTTAAAACATAAGAATACACAAAATGGAGCAGAAGTAAGACCATAAGTCTATTTGACCCCTCAGACATTCATCACCATTAAATATAATCATGGCTGACCTTCCACATCAACTCTGATTTCCCACCCACATGCTATATCACAAGAGATGTGGTCAACTTTTAAATGCCCTCTGGGCAATTAAGGATGGGCAATGGATGAATGAGAAAAAAAGAATTTAACTTCTCACTTTAGATATATTCATCAATGAAGCATCCTCAACATCTGTGGCAGAGAATTCTGAAGAGTCACAACCCACTAAGAACTTTCTCTTCATCTAACTTCTAAATAATCTGTCCCTTATCCTGACATTTTTAAAAAATTCATTCACAAGTTGCAGATGTTGCTGCCCAAGCTTGCATTACCCAGAAGGCAGTTGAGAGTCCATCACATTACTGTGGGTCTGGAATCACATGTAGGCCAGACTAGGTAAGGGTGGCAACTTTCCTTCCCTCATCTCTTGGGTCATTAGAGTAAGTGGAAAAGTGGAGTTGAAGTAGAAATCAGCATGATTGCATTTAATGGCGGAGAAGGCCTGAGGGAGCCAAATGGTCTCAAGGATATTAGTGAACCAGATGGGCTTTTAGTAACAATCGGTAGCAGTCACACAGTTGGCATTAGGTTTTTTTAAAATGCCAGTATCTTTAATTTAACTCAAATTTCACCATTTCCTATGGTGGGATTTGAACTCATGTCCCCAAAACATTAACCTGGGGCATTGGATTACTGATCCAGTGACATTACCACAACACCACCATCACCTCCTATTTATCCCATGCTCTAGGTTCAGAGGAAACCATCTCTCAGCATCTACCCTGTCTACAACTCCTTCAGAATCTTGTATGTTTCAATATGATCATCTCTCATTCTTCTAAACAGAGATTATCGACTTCCTTTACTCAGTGTCTCATCATAGGACCACCCTCTCATCCCAGGGATCAATCTGGTGAAACTTCACTGTACCACTTTCAATATAATACTGCAATATGGAACTGAAACCTGCACACTGTATTCTGGGTGTAGTGAATCAAAACAAAACTCAGTATAGTTGGAGCAAAGGCTTCTTCTTTCTGGTACTCCTTGAATGGCCAACAACCATTTGCTTTCCTAATTATTGGCTGCATCTACTTGGTAACTTGCTGTGTCCCTTATATGAGTACACACAGTATCTCTGAGCATCAATACTTACAAGTTTCATGCCTTTCAATAAAACTAAAACAAATGAGTCTGAGATTCCGAGATCATTTCTAGCAATCTAACAGTTGAAGTTGGCCAACTTAGCACAAGCCAAAGATCAGCCATGGAATTTTCAATAATTCACATCTACTCTTGGGCACCAACTAGCCAATTTTAGAAATGATGTGCCTGGTTATGATTTTGACCCACCAAAGCCAAAACTATCACGACCAAGTAACTTGCTCACTGCTGTAGCAGTCATTTCTGGCAGGTAGCTAATTATAAAACATATATTCATGTGCATTAAGCAAGAGAAAACCATTGATTGTGTCAAATCCAACCTCATTTTCTTCTCTTGCCTATCTTTTTAGGAGGTCAAGGTCATCTCAAGGAGCCAGCCAATCAGAAAGCCTGTAGGGATGCTGTAAAGCCAGGTGACTCTGGGAAGGTGGCTGAATGTTAAAGATGGCAACCCAATACAACAATGAACTGAAATGTGTTAGCGTAGAGTGGGACTTCCTTCAAGGACTGCTCGTAAAGAACCAACCAGTCCCTTGGTAAGACTCGCGTGGCTTCATGTTGTCCAAGTGGGGTGATGATGATGGTGGTGGGGTGATAATATCACTAGACTAGCAAGCCAGAGGCCTGGGCCAATGCTAGTGTTCAAATCCTGCTGTGTTAGCTGGAGGAATCTCCATTTATTTAATTCAAGCAAAATTATCTGACAAATCTAATTAATTAAAAATCTGGAATTGGAAGGCAAATCTCAGTGATGACCATGAAACTATCCTCCTTATTATTTATACTCATCTGGTTCACTAATGACCCTTTGGGGAAGGAAACCTGCTGTCCTTACCTGGTCTGGCCTACATGTGACTCCAGACCCACAGCAACATGGTTGTCTCTTGACAGCTCTCGAGGGCAATTAGAGATAGTCAATAAAGGCTAGCTCTGCCGGTGATATCCACAGCCCACGAATTTTTTTTAAAAAATGCAGTTTTTTGCTGAATTAAATTTCTGGGGTTGAGGGGGGCACTTTTGTGGTGGGCTTTCTTTTTCTGACCAATGGAATGGAGCCAATGCGTTGGGACCCATTAGCAGCACCTATCACAGGATGGCCACTGACAGGTTCTTTCAGTGGATTAAGCTACAACTTCCCAAAGTCAAGGTCATTTCTGATTGTGGCTCATTGCAACAAAAGTTGTGTTCTGTAGTGTCAAAAATGAAATAGATGTTAAGGGTCCTTTCATGCAGTAAACTGCTGAACGCTTCAAGTGCAAGAGTTAGCATTTACTATCTTAGTTGCTCCTGCCTCCCCTCATCTGCCCCAAAAACCTGATTCATACACTTGTTACCTCCAAAGTCAGCTATACCAATGCTCTCTGTCATACCAACTCTTTCCTTTCACTTGAGCTTATGTCAAATCTGATCAAATCTAGTTTATCCAGTATTCCTTGTTTACTGACTACATTGTCACCCAGTATGGCAACACCCGATTAAAAGTTCCAATTTTCTTTTCAAATCTTGCCATAGCGCTAGAATTCCTTTGAGATCTTTATTCCTCTAACTCTGGTGTCTTGATGTTCATTATTACATCATTGGTGGCCATGCTTTCAGCTACCTGGGCCCAGGCTCTAGACATCCCTCCCTAAACCTCTCTCCTTCTTGACTTTTCATACCTCCTATTAAGGCAGCCCTTAAACCTACCTCTTTGATTAATTTACTGATCGCTTAACTCAATATTGGTTTACAAGGCTCAATTAGGTGCTTTATAAATTTAAGTTGCTGTAGTCCTACTATACAGTGATGATCGGACTAACGATCAGCATATACGTTTGATCAAGTCATGCCTAGCTAACGGAAGACTTTAATCTGTCAAAGCAGTTGCAGATGTAGGTGTAGGGACTTATGATAAAAACACTTTATCTGTAAACTCTCACAGAGAAGCATGAGGGATGCTGAGGAGGTGGTCTGCTGTTTCAATCAAGGATGTGGCAAAGTGACAACTGGACACGTTTTGTAACATGGACTGTTGGCGATATGTTGTGGTGCCCCCACGGGTGTGACAGTATTTACACGAGTCCCCCGGGGTAGTGTGTCACTATTTACAGGGAGTCCCCCAGCAGTGGGTTGGGGAGTATGTCAGTATTTACAGGGATCTCCTGGGGGACGTAGAGTCCCCAGGAGGACTGTGTCAATATTTACAGGGTGTCCCAGGGAAAAGTGTGTCATTATTTATAGGGAATCCTGGGGAGGGGGTCCGGTGGTGGTTGGGTGTCAGTACTTATGGAGAGCTCCTGGGAGCATATCATTATTTACAGGGTGTCCCCAGGAAGCATGTCTGTATTCACAGGGAGTACCCGGAAGTGTGTTGCTATTTACAGGGAATTTGATGAGTCCATCAGTATTTTCAAGGCGTCCCAAGGAATGTGCCATTATTTATAGGAGCTCCCCAGATAAGTGTCAGTCATGGGAAGGCGCAAATATTATCAGGGACTGTGACTATTGTTTCAGACTGCTGACACACATCCACAGGCAGTTTAGGAGAAGAGGTTAAGGAGGGGTCATGGGTTACTGACCGTGTGACCCTCTTCCTGTCCCATTGGTGCAGCAATTGGGTAAAATGCCAGCAGCTCTCTTAAATTTACTTTCTATCTAAATTTACTATCTATCTCTGTGCCTGGAATATTGACCCTGGAATGTTGCTAGTCTGTTTGACCCCTTTCCATACCTAGCAGTGCATTCACCCACTGAGACACATACAGACATGCATACATACACAAACAAACACGCATACATATATGCACACATTACTATCGAGAGTGGGCGTCACAGGGGAGGAGGTGACAGTGGGGAGATATCGGAATATCCAAGCAGACTGGAATTGCAGTTCATCGTAGGCAAAGCTGCATGGGGTGAACACACAGTAAGCATATTGATCTCTGTTCAATTAATGGGAATGTTCACTCAAATCCTTAAGCTCCTGACATCAAAATGTGTAAGATTTGAGAGTTGTATGCCGAGCAACCTCTGCAGCCCAACTGTCTTTACGTTTTGAGCGTCAGCGATTATATAATCCTGTATGAAGATAGGTTTGTTAGTCATCTAAAGTATAAAGAAGTGGTGGAAGTACCCAAAAGGCTTGGTATGTTGAAGAATAAGGGCAAGTGTGAATATTTATGGTGTCTGACATATCAGCATCACCACTCTGCTCTAGACTTTACCATTCTCACTCCCTCCCGTCCAGCATTGCAACTTCCATCCCCCTCTTGACTTGTCCAAAACTCTGCTGCCCCAGATCTCAACCTGCACCAAATCCAATTCATTCAACACCCTTCAGGGCCGTTGGTTTGCAGATTGGCAGTGACTTGATTTTCGATATCTCATCCTTTGTTTTTGAATCCCTCCATGATCTCCTCCATCCCTATAACCTTCTGGGATCTATATGTTCCTTTATCTCTAGCCTCTTGCATACCCTTATCTTAATTGGTCCTCCACTGGCAGCCATGCCTTCAGCTGCCTGGGTCCTAAGTTCTGGAGTTCCCTCTCTAAACATCTCCACCTCTCTCCTCTTTTAAGACATTCCTGAAAACCTACTCTTTTCACCGAGCTCCTGGTCACCGGTCTTAATTTCTCAATATGAAATTTTCTTAATAATTGCCCTGTGTAGCATTTTGAGGGCATTTTACTAAGTTAGTATCATAGTAGCTGAAAGATGAAGCAGCGTCTTCAGAAAGTTGTGAAAATAGTGAGGGGGAGGTGGGGAATTGATGATGAAGCCAGTTGCAGTGAGGCAGCTCTAACTGTAATGTTTAACAGTGAATTATGAGACCCCTGCAAGGTCAAAGTGACACAAAGGGGATCCCAAGAGCAATAATTTACCAAACAGGAAGACTGCTATTATAAAGGCAAAATATGACGGTGAAAGTACATAAAGTGGAGTTCTCTCCATTATGCAGAGGCATCATCATGTTCTTTATGCAAACACCTCCTCTGTGAGACATGCTCTGAATTGAGCACTAGGGAGACTTCAGAATTTCCAAGAATGGTTCCTGGGATTCCTGAGACACAGTCAATTACGTGGATAGAATGGAGAATCTGGGACTATGCTCCTTGGAGAAGGCAAAGTTGGGAAAGGATTTGATCAAGCTACCCAAAACCACGAGGGTTCTGAACAGGGCAGATTGGGAGAAATGATTCCTATTAGCAAAGAATATTGAATAGCAACCTGAGGAAACATATTTTTTCAGGTAGCAAGTGGTTAAGGGTCTGGAATGCAGTGTGTGAGAATGTGATGAAGGCCAGTTCAGCCATGATTTTCAAAAGGAAACTGGATAATTAACAAGAGAAAAATGATTTCTGGTCAGTCAGTGGCCTAGTGTTAATGGCCCTGGATAGGTTAGACTAGGCTTTGGCTGATGTTCTAGGTGTATGGCTTCGAATCCTACCATGGCAGGTTGTGAAATTTGAATTCAAAAATCTGCAATAAAAAATTGGCTAAATGGTGGCCATGTAACCATTGTTGATTGTTGCAAAAATCCGTCAGTCCTGTAGGGAATCGAAATAGCCATTCTTACTGTGATGGTGTGGACTTGATGGGCTGAAAACACATTGAATTAGATCCTGTGTACAAACCACTGGGAAACAAAACTGCAAGTAATACCAACCACTCCAGCAAACCGAGGCATATAAATAACAAGTGGGATAGAACACCAATACTTCACCAGAGGCGCACTGACAATATTACCTAGCAGGGTGACGAAACATTTGCGACGAAACATTTGCAACCAAACCCACCGGCTCGGCGAGCATGTCTCCAACCTCATCCACAATCCAAGCTTTAAATCTTCTCGAAACCTTTAAATAACAACTGAGCCTATGAATCTCTGTAATGTGTCAGTAATGCGCTGATACTTCAGATCTCATGACAGTGAAATGAAAACGTAAATTTCTGGTGGAGCTCACTTTCTGTTTTATTTCAGATTTCCAGCATCTGCAATATTTTGTTTCCATGATGGTGACTTTGTCCGGAGGTGCTATTGATTGCCATGGCATCAGTGATATTGCCTGTTACTCCTGTTTGTCGTCAGGTTTTTATTTCACGGGCTACAGCTGCTGTCCTAGACTTTGTTCGTTCTGATGCAGCATGGCCAAGTTTTGTTCCAGATCAACTGCTGCCTGATCTCGTTCCTCAAGCTGTTTTCAAACCTTTTCAGTATTTACTTTTCATTTCTTAACAGTTTCTAGCTCATTTGAAGCTTCTGCTTTTTTTTTACCATGGGTTCTTCTAATTCGATCAAAGATTTCATGTTTTGTCGCTCCAGTATATTTTCTCCTTCATATCCTGCTGCAATAATTGTCTGGCCCTTCAATGTTTTCTTCACCTTTTATTTTATTTCATACCTGGTCCTCTTCCACTTGCTGCTGAGTGGTTATTTGGTTTCTTCCATATCTTGCCGCGTTATTTTGCTGGAGCACTGGAGCTAGCATTTAGTTTTGAAAGGGGCTGTCTCTGAGTGAATTGCAGCTCCTTGATGTGTGTGTTGTACTTCTCCATCTAATTTTGCAGGTTTGTCATGTTCTCCAGTGTTGCTTGGAGCTCAAGCCAATATTTCCGTAGCTGTTCCTGTTGAGCATGATCTCTTTGATGTGTGAGTTGCTCCAGATCTACCTGTAATTGAGCAATCTTTTAATTGGATTGATGATACAGCATTTATAACTCTTTGTGCTTCCTTGCTTTTTTTCTTTCAGCTTTTTTTTCTTTGTGAATTGAGCAGAAGTATCCCATATACTTGATCCTGTGTCAATCTTTTCTTTAACTCATTCACTCATGGGATGTAGGTGTTTGAGGTTGTAGACATGCTCGCCGAGCCGGTGGGTTTGGTTACAAATGTTTCGTCACCTGCTATGTAACTTCGTCAGTAGGTGTTTCTGGCTGGGCCACCATTTATTGCTCACTTGTTGTTGCCCTTGAGAAGGTGGTGGTGAGCTGCCTTCTTGAACTGCTACTTTTTATTTGGTTCTGTGATTCCGATGGGAATCACAGCTCATAATTAAGAGTCACCAGTACTCTCAGCACAGATAATTTAAATGCAATCATCAATTTAATAATCGTCTTCTAGCTCTCCACCTGAAAAACCACAGAATGAATCCCTTTCTCTGAATCTGTTCACAAAATGGTCTATGCATTCTCTAAGTCTGTGTCTGAAGTTAAATCTCTGAACTACTGCTCTAATGTGGTGCATGTCTTTTGGGAATCTTTTGTCTTTTTGACTGATAGTCCCGGTGTTAAGTCTATGCATACCTTTATTTCAAATTGGTAAGCAAATCTTAATGGGTTTTTTTCTGCATTGGACATACTGGAATCTTGAAACCATAGCTCTGAACACTGCTTAAACATGTTCAATTCTGTTAAGAGGTCTGTTGTGTCTCCATTTAAACTAAGCAATTTTGTGGATATTCTGACAATATGCCTTTGACTGTTCCCGCTTGCTGGCAATCTGGTGCACACCTTGAACACTTGCCGTGAGTTAAACTGGCTTCTTGATAGGATTTGGTTTAAAGTTTTAGCAAAGATTTGTAGCTCATGTTGTGGGTGAGGTTGTTGATTTGCATGCCGAGCTGGCTTGTTTTCGTTCATCAGTGAGGCCTCTAATGAAGTGATGTTGTTCTACTCCACTTGGAACTTATACTGTCTGGTCTGTTGTGGTAAGTAGTGTCATTTCTGATCTGTATGGGTTTGCATATGGGGTCCAATATGTTGGTTGATAGAAGGATAGACCTGAAACGTCGACTCTCCCGCTCCTCTGATGCTGCCTGACCTGCTGTGTTCCTCCGGCTCTACACTATATTGACTGCTTACCAGCAAGCTGTTTTTTCAACAGTGCTGTAACAAGCAAAGATATTGAGGGCTGTCTCATGCACTTTAGCACAATATGAGACTGGTGAACATGTTTTTTACTTGAAGATTAATTCCTTCCTGACTAGGGAAGCACAATACAGGTAGTTCTACTATAATGCATGTTTCATTAACATGAATTGGCTGTAATGTGACTGATGAATAGTGGACACTGTTTGGATAATGCAAACTTTCTGCTGTACAGATATGGAGGTTTTCTATAGCAATTTCCCTATAGTGCAAGGTCACATAAGAATGCAACTATTGCATTATAGGAGCACCACCCCATAGGTCATATCAGCACAATGTTTTCCACTGCTGCTTACCATGTTAATGATATTAGTTTAACCATCAATTGCTGATTAGGGATTAACTCGGTGGGTTAGTTTATTTAAAACAGCAAAACACAGCACAAGTTTATAAAGCAGATATTACAGCTAATCAGGGCATTTCTATGTGTGCAGCTTGCAGACCTACAGCAGACTAATTGACAGAGTCACAACGGAAACCCACAGCACAGAGTCCTTAGAGGTGAACTCTCTTAACGACAAAGTGCACATACAACAGGCTCAAGACACACCTTCCAGAGACATGAGTTTATAATCAAGGCTTTCAATCCCTTTCACAAACAAAACAGAAATTGCTGGAAAAGCTCGGCAGGTCTGGCAGCATCTGTGCAGAGAAATTAGTTAACATTTCGGGTCGAGTGACTCTTCCTCAGAACTCAATCCAAAATGTTAACTCTAATTTCTGTCGACAGATGCTGGCATACCTGCCGAGCTTTTCCAGCAATTTCTGTTTTTGTTTTAGATTTAGAGTATCCGCAGTTCTTTTGGGTTTTACTTACAATCCTTTTACTGGACAGATAGACTTTGAACTGTCAGTGCACCACCGCCAAGACACAATGGAGGTCCATCTTCTCTGATTCTGATACAGATCTGATCCAGGGGTTTTGCTGAGGAAAGAAGCTGGGAGTTCTCCAATGCTTCCATGTTAGACATGTTTAATCATGGGGTCCAAGTAACAGGAAGCGTAGGGTTGACTGAAAATTCCTATTGTTCCTAAGATAGAACATTCATTCTGGATATATGACTGTTGTACATTGTTGTAAACGTTGTCTCTGCATTGTGTGTTGAAACTAGGAACTGAAGTGTTACACGTGGCGTTGTTTAGGGAGATTCTAAACATAACCGTCAGCAATAACAACGTATATTTGCATAGTCCCTACACGTGAATCCGCTAACATTTTGTATCTCTTATCTGATTTAATACCATTTTCGAAATACCGTTGCCCACTCTGGTGACAGCGATGTGGAGTGAGTGTTTCTGAAGCTACCTCGTACAGTTTACTTCTGGAATTTCACGCCAGAAGAAGCGACCCCAGGCAGTCTTTACACATTCCACTCAGTATTTCTCTCTCTCTCTCTGCCTGCAGCTGTGTAAACATTATAATGGTTTATGTCCTTTCCTGGCAAGGAGCCAACTCTCGACATTTCGCAAAAAAAGAGAAAAGCCAAAGAGCTGCGGATGCTGGAAATCTGAAATAAAAAAACAGAAAAATGCGGGTTCTGAAAGAGGGTCTGTGGACCCGAAGCGTTCACACTTTTCCTCTCACCCGCCCCGTGCAAGATGCTGCTAGACCTGTCGAGTTTTCTGTTTTTATTTCAAACTACCTCCTAAAACTCACCTGGCCAACAACACTCCATACTTCTCCGATGTTTTGATGCATTTTTTTCAATCGTTCATTCGCCGTGTGAGGCCATCCTTCGTTGGGGGTGGTGGTGGAACGTTCTGCTGGAAGGTTCTGGAAATGCTCAGCCGTTGAGCCCAGCGCCGGCGGGGAAGAGGAGTTCTGAGGAAGGGCCACCGGACCCCGAAACGTTAACTGTGATTTTTTTTTTTGTTTCTTCACAGATGCTGCCAGACCCGCTGAGCTTTTCCAGCAACTTCTCTTTTTGATCCTGAGAAGTTCGCGCCTTTTTTCCCCTCCCCCCCGAACCGGGACCAAATGGTTTTAAGCCGAGGAAAACGGCGCAGGCATAAAGTTGGAGGGTCTGGAAAACAAGAGGAATGACATTGAAAAAGGGATAATGGTGGGAGTCAGGGAAAAAAACGAAAAGGCGGCGACGGCACGAATAAAAATACGGGCGGGAAGGAGGCCATTTAGCCCATCGAATCGAGTCTGTGCCTCCATTGTCCTGCCTGTTGTCATAGTCTGAGATTGCTCATTCACAAGACAGTCAGTCATTGGTTTTTATTGAACGTGACTATAGGGTCACAGATGATGTGTTAAACCTGGAGCTTTACAGACCCAGTATTCAGTTCTACATGCTCAGCAGCTATCTCAGAATGAAGATATAATTCCCTTTACACCGCACTTGTCCTTCAAATCCTGGACTCCCTCATCAATCACAAATCTGTCCAACTCAGCCTTGAATATATTTGGCGATCTTGCAGTTTCCTAAAGGAAATTCCAAAGACTAATATCCCTCTGAGAGAAGAAATTGCTCCTCTTCTCCATCTTAAATGGGTGTCCCCTTGTTCTTGATCGGTCCTCCACAAAAGAAAGCATCCTCTTAGTATCCACCCTGTTAAGGCCCTTCAGACTCTTATATCTTTAATAAGATCGCCACTCATTTGTCAAAACTCCAATGAGTACAAGCCCCCAACCTGCTTGACCTCACATCATAAGCAAAGTCCCCTTTATTCCAGCAGTCAGCGAGTGAACCTTCTCTGAACAGATACCATTGTAAATGGGGAAGGTTGGTGGCATAGTGGAAGTCACTGGACTAGTAATCCAGAAGGTTGAGACTCTGTTCTGGGGAAATGGGTTCAAATTTTACCATGGCAGATCGCAACATTTGAATTCAATGCATTAAAAGCTGGACCAATGGTGACCATCATCAATCGTTGTAAAAACCCAACTTTATACCCTTTTGGGCAATTTGCCATCCTTACCTGGTCTGGCCAATATGTGAGACAACAAGGTGCAGGGCTGGATGAACACAGCAGGCCAAGCAGCATCATAGGAGCAGAAAGGCTGACGTTTCAGGCCTAGACCCTTCATCAGAC